ATGTCTTAGAAAGTGGTCTAGAAAAAGTGGTAAAATTTTGGGGGAAATCGTGGGGGGGTCATGTAAACCGTTGCTGGTCTTAAATACGTTTCCTCGGTGGGAAGAATCGTAGACTCATCATCGTTTTCATCGCACTTCGATGAAAAAGAAGGGGCGAAAGGAACACAACACACCGAGGAGTGCATGTGTGTAACGTATGTGAATGTGTGGGTGTGCGTGATTGTGTATGTGCTGCCGCGCATGTGTGTGTGTGTGTGCGCGCCAGCGCTACCATGAAGGGCAGACGAGAAAGTGGGGCTGTTGTAAGTACCTGCTCGGGGGCCCTCCACAACACCCGCGTGGAGCGAGGCGCGAGGTCCTACTACCTACGGAGTGAGCGCCCTGCGGAGCAGGACACACAAATAGAAAACGCAAACTATTTTTGGCGTCTATTCTCTACTCGAGTCTAAACAACCCTTTTCTGAAGAATTAATTATAATTTTTTGCTGTGCGGGGCCAGTATTTGGCAACACGGGCGATTTACAATGCAGAGCAGATACCGTCCAAATTGTTTTCGGGGCTTTGCTCGCTGGTGGCCGGGGCCCGTCGTGGGAATGGGCGGGGGAGACTCAAGGTAAAGGCTCCGGGGCTTAGCCGGGTACGCCGGGACGAGACGCACTCTGTTGAGAAAAGGCGAGGGCGTATAGTCACTATGGTTCTGCGGCAGTTACCGAGCTCCCACATGCGCCCGCCTAACTTTTAGAAATTAGCAGCGAGTCGAACAAAGTAAGTACACTCATGTAAATTCATTCGCGATAAACCGAGAAAACGCTCCAGAAAATGTCGTGTGCGAAGGTTGTAAAAGAAGGAGAGGAAAAAAGTGACCATTCAAAATAACTCGAAAAAGACAAGAACACAGTGGCAACCCCAGTGTTTCAGCGCTGTCATTTAGAGGTCGGAAATTTGACTATCAATGTGCGTGACGCCATCGGAGATGTTCGCAACCTGTAATCTTCACGCCACGGCCTGACCGGAGGAAGGGAGGGAGGGAGGGAGGGAGG